ATAAATTGATTGACAAATAATTTAGATAAAAAAAAATATATAAAAAAAAAAATTAAATAAAATATTTATTCATACCTGCAAAAGTATTGGAGCTACATTTGGTAAATTTTCATAATTGTTGCATAGTTGTTCTCCTCCTTTCCTTCCAGTTGCTGTACCAAAGCGTGAGCAGTTTAGTTGACTTGATACTTCTACCAGTCTAAACGCTGCATCAGTACACATGGAACACTGATCATTCTCCATGGCAACACTGTTTACTGTAACAAATCTATAACAGATTTTGGAAATAATTAGATTAAATTTTACAACATAATTTATACAAAATATTACAACTAATTGATAATAATAGTAATAATAATAATAGTGTTATATAACACATATAACATGTGCAAACATCAGATGTCTATAATAAAATATAACAACAAAAATACAGCCACAAAGTTAAGGAATATTATAGCTAGAGTCATTCAGGGGAATTACTAGTCAACTTTAGTTTTTGCTGCGAAAGTGAATTTTAAGAACAGTAATTTGTTCAAGATTTACAAATAGGGAGCTGGTGGAGGATTAACAATTTACAAAAATTTACAGGGGTCAGGGTCTGCTGGGCCCCCTGAATCCACCTCTGATTTCACTGGATAAAAATGGAAATAGAACAAATGTTCAACGAAACATCAGTTGAGTCATCTGAATTAGCATGTTATAAGTACATGGAAATCTACGCAGCCAAGTCACAAGTGCAGCATACACGCGAGGGTACACTTATTAACGGAATGTCATATTTGACAGGAAGTGAGTTACAACTAAAGTCAAGGTAGGGGTTAAGAACTTGGGTGCATTGTTAGATAAAAAAGAGTATTCTTTAGTAGGATGGAATGATTGATTAGTGATGATACATCTATAGAACCAAAACCATTAAACTAGCAAGGGTAAAATGACACAATTTTGACAACGGAATGTATAAATATGTTAACTATGAAACTATATAATTATGGTATACAGAAGATAAAGTGAGAATCACTAATAATTGGTAATTGTACCTATTTAACAAAAAGTATAGCCTACAGTTAACGTTCTATTTTTAAACGGTCAATGCATGAAATAGTTTTTATGCATAAACTTATGCAAGATATGCAGTTAAATAAATGTGAGCAACTTAGCTCAGTCAGTTAAACTGGTGGTGGCCACTGTGTGTGCGCTGAACCGTGGAGGTCCCCGTTTCAATTCCTATCGCTGCTGTCCTTGTGTTTCAGCTGGATGGGCTGAAATGTAAGTTACGATAGCGCACCGTCTTTCGCATGAGACATTTCAGCCGTTGGTCCAGTGTGCAATATGGCCCATGTGCATGTTAAAGAATGCAGTAACACTCTTTGGAAAGGAGAAGGGGATTGTCTCCCGGTATACAGCTGCCCAATCACCACCAGAAAGACCCCACTGGAAATAAGTCTTCTTCAGATTTTGTGGGTTATCCTTGGTGTTTACACCGAACAAACCCATCCCATTCTTCTTGGATGTTTAGCACCATTTCCCATCCAAAGGCTGCCGCTTCAAACTGTGTCAAATTCTCAAGTTATGTTAAGACCTGTCCACACTCTCAAATTTGATGTGACAAATTTGTGTGATGAGCTCATATGATAATGTCACAGTTATTTGTCACATAAAATTTCATAGTATGGACAAAGTTTTAGTTTTCTAAATTTTCAGTAGTAGTTTGGCAAGCTTGAAGCAGTTTTGACTTGACTTTAATTGTAAAATGCAAAGCATGGATCTAGAGAAAGTATACTATACACCGCATATAAATGCTTCTCACAAGTGGTTCCTCTGTTGAACACAGGGAAGTGCTGTTGAGTAATATTTGTCCCTTTCGTTTTGCAATTAAAAACAAGGAAAAAAAATCATTCCCTAGCTAATGTAACGCAAAGTTTTAGATTTAGAGAAAAGTTATACTTGCAATATATCACAGATATAATAATAATAATACTGTAATAATAATAATAATAATAATAATAATAATAATAATAATAATAATAATAATAATAATAATAATGTTACTAAAACCTACCTTAAGGGGAACTTAGACAATGGGGAAATTAGAGAACAATTAAACAAATGATGTTAAGGGAAAAATAACACAAAAGATACAGGTTTTCATGGGGAGGGGGATTTCCTATAGGCCAAATTTAACTCAGAAGTGTTTCTTTAATAAACAAGGTTTATGATAAAATACTACGACAGTGGCAAACTTGTCAAAAAAGGAACCCCCAAAACCAGCCTGGTCTGAGAAAGGTGATACTTACAGTAGATAACAAACAGTTAAACAAATTGTGTAATTTACTTACAAGATATTCTTGATGTTAATGATATTGACAGATGAAATATCAAACGCCTGATCAAATCGCTCAACTAGATCCCGATTAGTGCTAAAAGAATATACAATAGGTGGAGCTGTGTTAGTCAGGCAAACTAAAGTAAAATGAAACACTTATAGCACTTTATAGACAAACTTCATACAATTTATTGACTAGTATGTAATAAATTTAATAAATTTTAGATTTTAAAGTATTTTTTAAAGGATAAAAATTGTAAAGAGTAAATCAACAAAATGCAGCATAATCAAATTGAAATGTACACATACTGGTAATGAAACCCGATGTCATGATTACCAACGACGACATGTGTCTGGCCATTTACTCCTTGTCTGAACATCTTCCTAAAGCGTGCAACTGTTGCTTGGAATTCCTACAACACAAAAAAATACCACTTGATAAAAAAATTGAATCTTATGAATTTACTTATGTTTTCAGGAAAATGTGTGCAATTCAGCACAATAGGCACATTCCAATGAGTTAGAAGTAAGCTTTACAGTGGAGTTTACTTGTCGTAAGCCTTGGGTAGTTCCTATCGACACTCTTTGTATTAAGTTACTTCAACGTTACTACAGATGATTTATCCCTGAGCAGTCTCAGGAGTAAGTGTGTACTTCGCGTACACAAAGAATGTAAGGAATACGCACTTATTTCTGAGCTTGCAAGTAAATACAATCGTTTATAATGACCTCTATTTTTCCAAAAAATTATCACCTACAAATAAGTGCCAAAATAACATTTCCTGTGAAGTTTAAACCTTTGCAGACACAATGTTTTCATAATTGTTTACAATTTCAAGGATCTGTGTGCAAAATAATCGTTAAGAGACAACGAAAGGCTGTCTTAACATAACTAATGATGCTGCAAAGTTAATGTTTATTTGCAGATGCGTAGTGCTTCTATCCCAGGTCACTGGATCCATTTAAGTGTTGCTGCTGTAATCTGCTGATGAGCAGGCAACCCAACCAGGAACTCATTTATACTCCTACGTTGAAAGAAGCAATGCAGATAAAGTGCCTCGCTCAAGGACACAAGCGAAAAGCAAAGCAAGGGATTGAAAAAACGACCTTAAAGTTGGGAAACCAAACTGTTCACGCTGTGCCAAACCAATTCCATTACCAGATATGCTACAACTACTTGTTAATTGTTAATATTATTTATTCAGGCATCATACTGTATATCTATTATGCATAAAATTGTAAACGAAACAACAGAAATTTCCAGGAAGGATCAAACTTTCATTAATATCAGAGTGACATGATAGATGCTTTTCAGATTTATTCATCATTTATAATACTGCAATTGATGATTGCTTTTCCTTTATAACTATCAAATGATGAATATTCTTGGTCCTTAAATTTAATTTTCATTTAGTTCATTATAATTACTTTAAAGATTATTGATCAATCCATGCAACAGTACGTCAGTATGGTAATAATACCTATGAATTAATAACACAGAAATTCATGATGGTGTTTATAGTTTTAAATAAAAAAAATTAATGAATTCATTAATAAAGCTCTTCATACTTTATCTGAAGACCATTTTCCCTCATCCATCAGATCACCCAGAACAAACACAACATCTGGTGAAAACAGAGTCAATGCACTTTGAAAGCTTCTTTCCATCTGCCATTCTCTGGAATAATATTCACATATATTATATTTATATAGAATATATTATATAGAATAAACATTTGGGAACAGGTGGTGCTGCAGTTTGTTTCAGGCTCTGAATAAAATCTGGTGTTTGAAACTTCACTATGCATTTCACATGTGACCTTGGGCAAGGCACTTAACCAACATTGTCTCTCACCTCCCGATAGTATAGATGGGTACCTGATCAAAGAATTTGACATAGTGGAGGACCAGGGAGAGACTTTTAGTGATGGAGGGTTTAGATCATTTCAATCCCTCCATGGCTGGGGCTAAGGTAGGACATTTTATGGAAATGGCACCTCCAGATGGCCAGAAATGGCCTTCTTAGATTTACATTTGAATATAGTTTTCATTTTTTCCCCATCTCTTTACAATTTCTAGAAATTGTGGGGGCCTAGGCCAGCAGGATTGAATCTGTCTACGGGTAGAATGATGTGGCATCGAATGAATTAGTCTGTGTGCATTAAATTGTAACATGTCTAGGTATATTCCCAGGCAGTGAAGGAGGTTGTACAGTACATTGCATAAAGGAAGCTCTATCGGGTTTTTTACTGCACACGTTACATCTCTTTACAATTTCTAGAAATTGTGGGGGCCTAGGCCAGCAGGATTGAATCTGTCTACGGGTAGAATGATGTGGCATCGAATGAATTAGTCTGTGTGCATTAAATTGTAACATGTCTAGGTATATTCCCAGGCAGTGAAGGAGGTTGTACAGTACATTGCATAAAGGAAGCTCTATCGGGTTTTTTACTGCACACGTTGCTTCCAATCACCAACTCACTTTAGGGAGGGATGCAATAGAAAAAACTAGGGGATGTTTTTTTCCGGAAGGTTTATTGCTTGCTTGTGGGAGGTTGCCTCAATTTCGGCGGAAAACCCTGGCAATTTGCAGGATATTTGGACCCTGTTTGTATTATAATTAAATTATTTTAATTAAAATAAATAAATACATGTAATCATTGTTAAGTGCTTTGAGGATTTTATTCGTGTAAGGCTCTATATAAATCTAAATTATTATTATTATTATTATCACTGTTATGTTGAAATGACAGTTGATTATTAAAATGAGCAGGGAAGAGCGTGTACCTACTAGTTATAAGTTTATCATTTGGAATATAAAAAAATTTACCTTCTGAGCTTGTCAAACCAATGACCATTTCTTGTCCCCAACAAGTGCGGATCAGATAGGAAGATGGCATGCAATGTTGGCTCATCTGACACAGCGCCCCTATCCACTGTCAACGGTGGCCACGAACATCGTGCAATCACGACATAGTAAACTAGGTACTCGCATGCCAGCAGCAGTAAAAGTACTAAACTTGAAAATTTCAGAAAATGTTTCCAGTTTAGAATCATGGAACTAGGGAGTAGCAACTTGAACCAACCAACCATCTATCCATTCACAATTGCACCCTATCATGCTGAAAATTGATAAGTGTAACTTAAATTTTATTATATGCTATATATGCAGATGCCTTTACCAACTGGGTCACTGGAGCCTGTTGGGGATCAAAATCTGATTTGAGGCAACTACATGTAGACCTAGACGAACATATACAGAGATAATGTGTTAACGCCCTCATCTCAAAAACATTAGTAACAAGACAGAATAACTTTTAAATAAATGTTGTAAATTGTTAAGTAATAAATCAAAGAAAAAATTAAAGGAACTGCCAGTGGCGTACCTAGGGGAGGGTGGAAGGCATCCCCCCCCCCAAGGGGAGTAGAAATTACTCATGCCCCCCAGTTTCCCCCAACAAAAAAAAAATCATGGTCAAGTAGTTGAAAATCAACATATTTTGCGAATTAGCGCCCCTCAACTGGACATCGAGCCCCACTTCATCTTCGTGCCCCTCATCAGCGCCATCATTGTAAGACTTCTAGATACATCACTGCTCATACTGACTGGCCTAAGTATAGCCTGTAAATTACGCTTATGCCTCAGCTAAGCAATGCCATTGGGAGAACAAAAAAAATGCTGCAGTGTTTCATCTATGCTAAAAAAACATATAATTTGGTATTAAAAAATCAGCCACCCTACCCCACAACCTTAATAATTGCCCAAACCCACTGCTGCCGGATCAGGTCTGCACCACTCATTCTGCTTAATCATCTTGGTTATAACCACTTGCAAGGAGCTTGCACACAGCCACTAACTTTTTGTTAGTTACCATTATTCACAGATCAGAATAAAAATACAACAGGACTAAAGTTTCACAACCAGTAACACACATCTTTCAAATTCCCCAGAATTTTGGTTGTATGAAAACGATCCATGCATTTTCAAAGTCATGGTCTAAATCTAGGCTAGGCCTAGTCTCTAGGGTTGGCCTCTCTAGGCCCTGGGTTCTAGTGGTTTATAAGTAGACTTACTTTACAGTAGCCAAGCCCAGGCCACATGGGTCCAGGCAGTCCTACCTTTCTAGTGTATGTCTTCGCCTTGGAAGCTTTCGGCCTAGCTAGACTCCAGGCCTTAGGGCCTAGCCTAACTAGGGGTAGGGTAGGTGCCTAAAGAGAGGCCAACTAGGCCTAATTAAAATGAGATTTTTAAAGTAAACTGTTGTTTTGTCTTTACCAAAGCACAGGCTCTAATTAGTTTATGCAGAAATTAGGCCTAGGCCTACAATCTATCGCCTCGGTACCAGAATCAAGCATTCACCAGCGATCAGTCCACCGCCATCATGCAAATAATGGAGGTACTGCTCCTCTCTGATGGGACCAATGAAATCACGTGCTGATTGCGTAATACCGGACAAACATTACACCGGACAAACAAATCGCGGTATAAAGCCGTGCGCTTTTGTTTTTTGTATTTGCCAATAAACAGTCTACAGCAGTTGACAAATTGTTCCATGAAGTGAGACCGGGAGTGAGACACCTTGAGATGGCCCTGCTGGAAGAGACTCTTTCTAAATTCAAAACTTATATATGAAACTTATGCGTCAATAATGGTCATTCACATGAAATTGCAAAATAATAAATTTTAAAAAGAGCATTACTGTTATACACATGTTTCCGCTAAGCCCCGTCCTTAAATATTTTTGCTAAGGTCCTACACAAAAAAAGGGGAAGGGGAAAAAAGCGTAAACGTACGCAGAGCTGAGGTGCGTTTGTGGAACAAAGGCGTATTCAGCCTTCCCTGTTCTGATTGGTCATCAGTTAGATTGACACTGCTGGAAAGGTCGATTGCGCGCTCAAAACTTACATGTTTCGAGCGCAGCATCATTTCCATTTAAAAATGTTATGTTTACAATACCGTTTTATATATATAATTAGATACTAATAACTTTGATAACGTAATATTGCTGCAAAATTGTGTTAACGTTTTCTTTTGACATAATCTAATCACAAAATCTAATAACTTTTCTTCATAGTACTTACAAAATATAATTCATTAATAACTCATAAATTGCCGTTTCATCACACAAAGGTAAGTTTCAAATCACTTGCAACACAATAATTCTTATTGTGTCTATATGCGAAATATATTTGATGAACAAAACATTGCGATGCTCTATATAGTTTAATAAATAATTAATGGTAATTTTAATTAAATAGAAAAACCGCATCACTTTGTCAAAAATTAGGACGCAAATAATTAGGACCTAACTTTGAATTGATCTTCTCGGTTGGGAAAGTTCATTTAGTTATACTACGCGCAACACAAATCGAAAAATGATATTATATTGTGTATAAAATAAGAACGTGTGTAACTACATCCGACCCTGTAATTAAATAGTAGTTAGTTTCAATAGCGACCTGGCATTGGTAATCAAATACAGTATGGCTGACTCGTGTAATAATGTACCGGTAAATACTAAGCGGTGTATAATGTTGCCTAGCGATGTTGACCTCTCCGACCTACAGATAACGTAGAAATATTTTAATTATGTCGATGTTATCTGAAATGCATAATTTAATGACATCGATAAACATAAGAAATACTATAAGTATCAAAAGTTCACTGAGTGGGCTGAGGGTCAATGAATGTAAATATATACTGCCACGTACATCTATACTTGATGAAATTACTTTGTATTCTAAAGCTCTGCCAAGACTATCAAATTTTCTTTTGACAAAAAAACAAAAACAAAAACAAAAAACAAAAACAATAAAACTGTTGTCAGTGCCCATAGGCTACATAGTCATGATGTTTCGATCCATATGTCCTGGTGTGATGTCATCGTGGCATGTCACAAGTTTTTATCAAATAAAATTGATTGTCTGTACTAAACTTTATTATGTTATTAGCTTTCAACTAAAAATGAGAAAAGGACAACATTTTCCTCGACAATATTTAACGGATGTTACATTATGATATCATCTCATAATCTTCGTACAGACAGTTGCAGGCCTAGTTTACCCTTTTTGTGGGCACTCTGAAATAAGAATTTTTTCTCAAAATGTGTCTGTCTCTTTTCGGAGTTACTGTCTTTTTGTTTTATATAAGAATTTTCGTATAGTAAAACATCTGTAAATCAATAAAAAGCGATTCCTTTCTGATCTGTGAGTTATTGAAATTGTAGTTTAAATTGAGCAAGTCAATTAACTTATAAACTAAATACTTGTTTGCATGTTTTATCCATGATGATGGCAGAACTTAAGTCCATTCTTAATTACAGAAAGAGCGCCATCTACGTAATTAAGCATTGTAGATAGGTTTAATAAATTAACCAATAACGCATGAGTTGTAATATTTACTGTAATATGATTGGACAGTGTTGCATTGAGCTATCAACTAACACTTAAGTGCTGATCGGTGTTGATTTTTAATTTCACTCACACAATTTTGATTTCTAGTCTTCTAGTATCGATGTTAGAGGTAGCAACGATTTTGATGATGAGTAAAGGCTAAGGTTTGTACATTGTTTTTATTTCTGTAATATAAAATATATAATTTTCTGTGTGTGTAATGTTAGAACGGGAACGGGATAGGCTGAGGAGGATTTAATGTTGTGATCTCTGATCTGATGTCAGATGTCGTCCTTCGTCCTTGCCGCTGCACTTACTGTATGTTCAGTACGCTATTATTACTAATAATGCTATGGCTTTGCCATGCTCCTCTTTGGATGAAAAAAAAAATGCTAACTACTAATACTAAATATAATATGTTTGTAGGCCTACTGTACCATACGTAGTTGCGGGCTTTGTTGGCTGTCAGTTTTCGATCAGATCATCATTATAAATGATACCCTGTTCACGGTTAGGTCTTCATGGTTAAGCAAGAATTATCCCATTACCAAAAGAAAACAGGTGCTAATTAACCATAATTATGAGCCATAGAATAGTAGTGTAGGAATGTAACTATGTATTACTTTCAGTATTGTGGTGGCTCCAGAAATTTGCAACGGGGAGGGGGCGGGGTGTCCGAAATGTCCGACAGGGTGTCCGAACTAAGGTGCCCACTGGAGTCTCGGTCAGGGTCCGGGAATTGGGAGTACTGTATTAGGTAATTCCCCCACTGGCGCAAACACTGAATAACTTAATGATTTTATTTTTTTTGCGGGGGGGGGGGGGGGGGGGTGTCAAGTGGGGTTTTTGAAAGGTGGGGGAACATGCTCCCCGGGCACTCCTATAGACATGCAACTGAATACAAACACCAACAACAACCCCATTTTAAATACAATTTCCCGAAACTAAAATGAGAAATACTTATAATTAAATACATGGCCCTAATATGACTATTCAATTTAAAACATTGAATTGCTGACTTAAACATGAAATGGTTTAATAACTTCCAAGACAGATTGAAAAATAAATTTATACATCAGTTGATGTATAAATTATTTTATTTTATTTATTACACTTTACACTGTCAATAATACAACTTGCACAGGACGGTAACCAGTGATGGAGGAGGCAAAGCACCTCTAAAAAGCCCAAATCATATTATTTTGAAATACTGTCCAAAACTATAACCACATTAAAACAATGATCTGTGTTTTATTGGAATTTTAAAAATAAAATGTATTAGATCCTTACTTTTTATAAGAAGATGCTGGGCCTAAAAAAAAGTGGCATCAGTAAAATAGGCCTACTTGTCAAAGTTTTTTACATAAGAATAGCCTTGGGCTCTGGTGAATTCAGTCAGTGGTTTTTCTATGGTCAGTGCTTTTTCTATGGTCAGTGCTTTCTCTGTATTGTAATCTATGAAGGAGATTATAAACTAGGTACTATACCTGTATATTGTGGTTGTTGTGGATGTGACTGTGAATGGGCAACAAATCTGTACAAATGAATGAAAAACCAAACTGGTCGGGACTGCTTCTGTGCAGCTCAGTAAACCCTACTCACCATAAACACTTATACACCATGTCATATGGTTTTTAATTTAAACGTGCAAATATTAAATATAAATGCGTGTACAAAACATGTGTCTGACAGAAAGTAAAATCCGCACTCTACTAATCTGCAATTTGTGGTTCCGTAGTTATTTTTTGTCTTCATTGTTGGCCGACTTTTATCTTTTCAAACTCAAAATGATCTTCGCACCCCTAAGGCCGTGCACTCACCGCGCCACGACTGTTGGCGTACGAATCCAACTTCGCTCCCTGTAAGCGCTGCCTGCTGATTGTCGGTGGGAGTGTGAACGGATCGTCATTCAAAATGATCTGTTGTGCATGCGCATGTTTTCCATAGAATTTACTTTGGCTGACGACTCCCGGGCATGCAAAGTGATTGTCGGGCTTTCTCTCATTATTTGTGCAGTAAATCTTGTGGCATTCAACTGAAAATTGTTACCGCAACAGTTTTCCCGCATAATTACTTCCCCTTCCCCCCTACCAACTAATTTAACTGAACCATTTAAGTCTGCTGAAAATATAGTGCAGTGGTGGAGTTATGTCATATATGTTATTATATTATTATTATACTATATGTTAAAGGGTGCTGATACCACATGCATTAATACAAGTACAAATACACAGAGGTTGTGTTTTTTTGTTTTGCTCAATTTTTTTTGCAAAATTCACAGTGATTCAAAGTGGTAAAAATTTACTTTGAATTAACTACATTAGTTTTACTGCAGCAATAACCTGGATAAAATCATCCTAATTCTACCATATGGACACACAATACTATGCTATCCACAGAAGGGACCATCTCAAATGTTAGCATTATTCGCCAAGTACTACTGTACTACTTAAACTAGTACTTGGTATTATGCTCAATATTTAGTGTAGTCCCAGTGTTCATGGAGGAATCATTTTAAATTGTTATGCTAATTATTAGTTATGTCTAAAATAAGACAGTCTGATATTCTGTTGTTCTTTATTTGTCGAGAAAACAAAGTACAATACAATGGTGGAATAGACAAAATACAAATACAATAAATTGAATGAGTTGGCAGGGACACAAAAGCAAACTTAATCACTTGCGAACCGCACTCATCCAGTTGAACATAAATACAATATTAATAAACAAACTACCTCAAAAATTTGAAAGGATCAAATACATTATTAGCTTCCAATGAGAAATATATTGAAAAAAGGTAGTTTTCACTGATTTGTAGACATTTTACTATAAAAATCTTTAAATTGATTACCAGGAAATTTATTATTTAACTGTTAGAAAATGGACTGGATTTTTTTTTAAATTCAAATTTTAAGTTAATAACTTACTTACATATACCACTTAAGAAATTCAAATATGGAATTAAAATTTTTATTTTTTTTTATCTCTTGACTGATATTGCATCTTTAACAAGATCAATTTATAATGTACCTCCATTTCTTTTAAGCATAAACAATATTGTCCAAAACAAACTGGAAATTATGTTTTTACTGGCAATGACAACATAACAGGTAATCACTCAGTGAAGCATATAAGAAATTAATTAATTCTTAGAGTTTTTATCCATTATCAATTTAATGATTTTCATATGAAAATGTGATATTATTCAGTAATTCATATAAAAATTCATATTACAGTTGAAAAATTTACATTAATGTTCATAAAAATGTGAATTAGATCCTTTTGTAAATTTTTTTAACATGCTTTTTACCCAGTTTTATTTTAATCTAAATTAATTTATTTATTTTACTGTATTTTATTCATTTCGACGTATGCAAAAAAAACCAAAAAAACCAATATGGTTAGGTGTGTCGAGGGGTAGCAACAAACACACATGCAAAACCTAAAATAGAGGGAATAACAGATAGGAATCATAAAAAAAAACAAAACGATGAAATCTATATTGAACTTAAATATAGTTCAGCTCACTAATCTAAATCCATGATTAATTTGAAACCAGTTGAAACTGGGTTTTAAATCAGGACGTGGCTTACGCAGTTAAAGAACCATGAGATTTCAGAAGAATAGCAACTGCATGGATTTGTCCCTTTGTTGTTGTTTTATTCTGTTGGTGATAAAGTCTGGAGAAATCATCAGTCTTTTTATCCCTACCTCAATGAAAATTCAATTATTTCATTGAAGTTCTCATTTAAAAGGATCAAGCGTAAATTATAAACTTCGACAAAAATCAAAACAATTGTTCAATTTCAACTTGAACTCAAGTTCAAGTTTCTCTTTATTGTCAGTAAAAGTTCACATGAAATTGTCTTTCCAAGGATAAGAAGCAGTACACCATATACACAAATATAAATAGATAAAAGGTGTTAAAATAAAGGTACAATTCATTAGTGAATATAGAAAAATATAAAATAAGATATGTTTTCATTATTAACAGTAAAATTATTATTTTTTGCCGTTTTCATTTTGTTCTAATTTTTCAAAGATCGATACCGGTAATTATAAAATTGTACAGCAGTATATTACCATACTGTATTATAGAGGGTATTAAATAATCATACCTACTGCACATATGGTACAGATAAGGTTGGTTGTTTTTTTTTTCTATTTAAAAAAAAAACCCAAAACCTCGGCCTCAATTTGTTCTTATTTTGTTCTTATCTTTTATTAAGTAATTTCAGCTTCAAATGTTCTTATTAAATGTGTATGCACAGAGAATATTGGAACTTTAGTGCACCTGTTAACTGGGAAACAAAACATTTTCTTTTTTCTGGGTTTTAAGTGAAAACTAGTGATATTATTTTGTATAAAATGTAAGCACTAATTTAAATATTTAATTTTTTATCCATAAAATATTACATTTCAAATAATTCCTTTGTACCATATTCAATAAGGAGTTTTTAATTAGTAGCCATTAAACTCATGGAAACTGCTGAATAGCCCTCTCTATCTGAACCACTTACAAAAACAATTTATTATACTTTTTAAATTATGTGTGTTATGAGTATTTTTCACCTGATGTAATTTCCTTTTGAACAAAATAAACGGAACCTGAATTTGATATACAAAAGAGCTCGATTGCATGCTGAGGAATTTCTTCTAGAATATCCCTCATTGACATTGTTTCTATTTTTATACAGGGGTACTTTTTTGAAATCCCTGATGATGATGTCATCGTCCCAAGATCCAATGGTAAGGAGAGGCTTGACTTCCTCGCACACATATGCTGATGGAATTAAATCTGCTGGTACTTCAACCAGTTCAACCATGATGACTTCAACCAGTCCACTCCACCACAGCGAATCTAACCAAAGGGAAGGATATATTAATGGTGTAATTCGTAAACTGACAGGTGCTACAGAATCAATTACAAACGACGGAACATACTCGCGTATCAACACAAATGCAGAGTCATCACTTGACGCAGATGTAGTGACATCGACTGTTAGCGTAGCTGCACTTAGAGGGAAGTTCGAAGCTGTGAGTTCCTTTTTTGATAGTATTTCAAAACGACAAAATAGTGATGGCTTCCGGAAGGATGTCTGCGATGCAAACTCAAATTCACTTACTGTGAAAAACAGCGAAAACGAAGTGAATGCGAACGTTAAACACAAAGAAACAAATATTGAATTAGAAACAGTTATAAAAAATGTGGAAGAAGTAGAAAAAGAAATAATGAACTCTGTAGCAACAACAGAAACAGTGGAGGTGACTGCAGAGGCAGATGTGACAAAAACTGGAGAAGCCATCAAAACAACAGGAGAAACAATAGAGGACACAACATTGGGAACGATGGAGGATACAATGACGGATGGACTTTCTAGTAGTGATGATGAACTTGGAGACTATGAACTTGAATGTAAATCATTTATGAAAGATCTTGTGAGGCGCATTTTTCATGAGAGGTTTGTACAACGACATTCATTGTTAAATTTAATATGTTTACTATGCAAATATTTGATAATATTTTTGTCTTATTTTTTTTGGGATTGCTCACTTTGAAATCTTGAGTTAAGTTCTATTTTTTTTCGTAAATTGTACATAAGGAAGTTTTTAAAATCAGTGTTGATAAGGCAGATTTACATTTGAAACTCAATGGAGCTTGGACAAAAATATCCAATCATACTCTCATAAATTAATACAAACATGTTTCAAGCCAATTTACTTTTGTTTGACAATCGAGTACCGGTACTCAATTTAAAATATATTTTAAGTCACATACATTATCAGTAAGCACAGTAAAAAACAATGGATTTACAACAATATAAAAATGTTAAATACAAGTTTGATTATAATATAAAAACATAAGGTAAGATACAGAAGTACAAATATTTAACAAGTTTCCAATGTAAATTTAAATCTATTCTTAAAACTCACCTTTTTCTATAGTTCATACTTTTTAAGCACTGTGACACTCCGGTAAAGAGCGCTATATAAGTGCTGAAATATTATTATTATTATTTATATAAATACATGAAATTTTGTCTGTTCAGGATAATAACGAATCAAATTTAACTATAAAATACAAATCATAATGAAACATTAGGATACAACCGGTTAAAAAATGGATGTGCAGAAATACTGCATATTAAAATATATATATATTTTGATATGCAGTATTTTCGTACATCCATTTTATATAATATAAAGAATTAAAAGTACTGGTAATACAGCTGAAGTACAGTATTTCAAACATTATACAGGTACTTAAATGATACATTGTGTATCAAATTATATTATCAGAGGTAAAATTCTGAAACCTGCTAAAAATTCAATCAAAACGCATTAAAACAATTCAATTTTCCCTGTGGTACTGACTAGAGACAAGTCTTCAAAATTGATTACCAGGCATTTCTGTGCAAATTATATTGAATGGTATTATGTCTGTTGATCAAATGTTAAATTTTAATTTTCCGATTTTATTACCTCATCCCAGACATATTAAAATCTAAGCATGTTTAATGTTGTTTTAATTGTTGTCACATATGTCCTACTTGCATGTAATATTTTATTATCAACAATATAGTGAATTTATGATAGTCACATGATTTGTGTTTGAATGCCAAAGTAATAATTAAACCAGCATATTATTGTACAGTCACATGTTTGTGTACGCAAGTAATCTATACTCCATTTATTATATACAAAAGTCACATGTGTTTGTTACTATTATATACTGAATAACTAACCTCTGCTACTCTACTGTAGAAGAGTCAAGGGCACCATATTATTTGTAGACTGTTAAAATTAGCTTCAGGTTTTTGCATACTGTACCCTTGAGTTGACCATTATGAGGACAGATGGCCACTCAACACACCCTTTAAAACTACATTTCTTCAACACTTTAACTTGCCAGCATTTTTCTGTATAAAAGTATTAAATTTATTTTTTATTTTTTATTGAACTTTGTTCATTGTGGGTAGCCAAGGCTTACAGCCAACAAGCCGTCTCAAAGAGGCCCGCAATAAATTTCCACGAAAAAAAACAGATTCATACATAGATTAGATTTAGATTAGAAACTTATTTTTTTCTGGATACCTAATCAATGTGGGGACATTGTTCTTTCTTGGGGTCCAGATAATAAAAACTTAAATTTCATACAAAACAAACTTTGAAAGATTTTAAAGTACCTGTAAAGTGAATGTATAGTGCTGCTAAAATTTAATGGTAGGTTATTCAAAAGTTTATACTGAATTATATTTAAAAGTTATTTTTACCAGATTCAATTCACCATTTTGGCAAGACAAAAGTGTTTGTGGATTTGCTTCTTATATTTTATTGTGATAATCATCAAGTTAATTGTGTCTGTCTGCTGTTCCACCTAGCATGTGACAGTGACGGTTCTTCTTCCAAGTGGTTTACCACAACAGTTTCCAAATATCAATATCTAATAATTTCCAATCATAACCATAATAAAAGAAAAAAAAAACACTTGCCAAAATATGATATTTATTAAGAATATATTTTTAATTAGAATTTTTACAAGGCACAAATAAATATACAATTTTTTGAAATTATAAAGTCAAAATACAGTATTTTAGTTTTACAAGCAATTGACTGTGGTTTAGCTTCGGAGATACTCAGCCGTATCAATTCAATCATTTGGGTAGTGTTGCTTAGTAACAAAGTGGCAGTATCATGTGATGGGGTGTCATTGACGTAATGAACTGTTGTAGGATCATGCAGTGGAAGAAGAAATCACAGGAAACGGCCAGATACATTTTCAATATCAATTATTAATTTATGCACACGTATGAACAAGAATAAATAAATAGGTATAACCAAGAGAAACGTTTGAACTGGTGCGGAAGCCTTTATCTAAAGTCAAGAGAACTACCGTATATACAGTACTAGCGGATAAGACAAGGCTTAAAATAGCAGACTACTGTATTATTGAAAATCAGGGGGGTCATCTTATACACTTGAAATTCAAGTTTTAGATTTTTAAAAATCACGTTCGTCTTTATGGCACATAGAAAAAATTATTAGATTTGTCACTCTTTTATTTTTTTAAATTGATGAGGGAGGGCGGGTTTTTTTTTTTTTTTATCGGAACAATGGATAATTTCGCTTTAGTTTGTTTTTATCGATGAGGGAGTGACTGTTTATGTTTGGCCTGTAATAGTAAATATTGTATAAAAACTGGTTTAATTTTAAAGTTTTTTAAATAAAAATGTATTTGAAGTCACAAAATTGCATAGTTGTTTTTATGCTGTTGAAATAATTGATATGGCAAAAAAAATTTTTTTTATTCCCGCATCAATATTTCCCGAATTTTTGACGCGGGTGGGAGTGATAATCTATTTGCCCTTACTGCAGATTGTCCGTAAAGCACTAATTTACTACTGTAATGATGCTACTAACTGTTAAATTAGAACAATTGACAGGTGGGATTTAATAATAGGTTCATACAGTATATTTTTCCTATAAACCCTTAAATTTTTATGGTAATTTATTTCATGGATGACTTTTGTAGTAAAAAAATATATATTATCAGCAGAAACTGATATTTTAGTGTCCCACTGAGTGTAACTCAATGAAACAAAAACAAAGTAACTCCGACTTCTTGACGATTCATAAGTTTCGATCAATTTGGATTGATGAAAAAACATCATCTATCCATATACTGTATATTTATAATATTGCAGAAGTGTAACAGATAGTAGTTAAAACCAGACCAATCTTATTGAATAATTTTGTTTAAAGTAAAACCTGCGTGCTTACTTGTTGGTATAAACAGTTTTACTGTAGACTGTTTACACCAAAAGAAAACAAAAGTAAACATGCTGGTTTTACTTGAAGAAATTATTCAATATTAAATGTCAAAACATTTAGCGTTTTTATCAACAGACCAACCATGTAAAAGCAAAATTAAAACTGTCCAATCAAAATGAGGAAATTAAGAAAGAAGTGTGTCTCACAATGTGGATATCAAATCTAAAAAGTACAATAAACAAAATAGGGAATAAGGAGACTGGGAATGCCGGCTGAAATTAATATCTTTTAAATAAGCAACTTTTAATACTTAAATTGAATAGTTGTCTTTTCCCCCAGATTTCATCGCAGATGGCATATATTAAAAGTAATACTCATTCATTAATAATATTTCCTGTATTGTTTTAGATTTTTATATCGTGAGAGCCATTCTGCTCAATGCCTGTAATTGACCTGCTACAGCTTCCTCCCTATTGGATATTTATGAACTGGATGCAAATAATTAATTTCCCATACTGTCTTTGATACATGTTGTACATTGTGCTTTGCAGTATGTCTACAATAGTACATTGAACCCAAATTATACATTTATTAAACCGTGTCATATCACCCACATGTACACATGTCCCTATAATGTTCACAGGATGGTCCACATGCAGTACTACATTTCCCTCGAGCGGCAGATCTACCCCACTTCCCAGGGATCTTCGCCAGTGGATGAACTTATAAAGCATATACTATAATATCATGATTGCCATACTGAGTATTTACATGTGGTAACATTGTGCTCATACTTAAGTGTAATAGTACTTAGACACTGTCCTGTGTCATATCGCCCACACACGTCTCCATAGTATCCATACAGTTATTGTGTAATACTGTCCACATGCAGTACCCTGGCAGACCTATCCCCTCCCAGGGATCTTTGACACTGGATATAATACTTTTTTTTTAAATCCTGACACTGAATTTAATCCTGATACCTGCACATCAATCAGCTATTAAATGAGTCACACTTTGTTATTGAATTTTAATTATCTATCCAGCAATTTCAGATTAATGATGACAGGGATATGGTCAATCATGTTCTTTGTGCTATCTAATATTTACTCTCATACATTCATGAACCTGTTTGAATTTTTATGATACTTAATTATTTATAGGACCAATCTTATTGAATAATTTTGTTTAAAGTAAAACCTGCGTGCTTACTTGTTGGTATAAACAGTTTTACTGTAGACTGTTTACACCAAAAGAAAACAAAAGTAAACATGCTGGTTTTACTTGAAGAAATTATTCAATATTAAATGTCAAAACATTTAGCGTTTTTATCAACAGACCAACCATGTAAAAGCAAAATTAAAACTGTCCAATCAAAATGAGGAAATTAAGAAAGAAGTGTGTCTCACAATGTGGATATCAAATCTAAAAAGTACAATAAACAAAATAGGGAATAAGGAGACTGGGAATGCCGGCTGAAATTAATATCTTTTAAATAAGCAACTTTTAATACTTAATTTGAGTAGTTGTCTTTTCCCCCAGATTTCATCGCAGATGGCATATATTAAAAGTAATACTCATTCATTAATAATATTTCCTGTATTGTTTTAGATTTTTATATCGTGAGAGCCATTCTGCTTAATGCCTGTAATTGACCTGCTACAGCTTCCTCCCTATTGGATATTTATGAACTGGATGCAAATAATTAATTTCCCATACTGTCTTTGGTACATGTTGTACATTGTGCTTTGCAGTATGTCTACAATAGTACATTGACCCCAAATTATATATTTATTAAACCGTGTCATATCACCCACATGTACACATGTCCCTATAATAAATGTTCACAGGATGGTCCACATGCAGTACTACATTTCCCTCGAGCGGCAGATCTACCCCACTTCCCAGGGATCTTCGCCAGTGGATGAACTTATAAAGCATATACTATAATATCGTGATTGCCATACTGAGTATTTACATGTAGTAACATTGTGCTCATACTTAAGTGTAATAGAACATAGACACCGTCCTGTGTCATATCGCCCACACACATGTCTCCATAGTATCCATACAGTTATTGTATAATACTGTCCACATGCAGTACCCTGGCAGACCTACCCCCCCCCCCCCCCCCCCCCCCCCCTGACACTGGATATAATACTTTTTTTAAAAATCCTGACACTGAATTTAATCCTGATACGATACCTGCACATCAATCAGCTATTAAATGAGTCACACTTTGTTATTGAATTTTAATTATCTATCCAGAAATTTCAGATTAATGATGACAGGGATATGGTCAATCATGTTCTTTGGGCTGTCTAATATTATTCTCATACATTCATGAACCTGTTTGAATTTTTATGATACTTAATTACTTATAGGCACTTCCTGCATTTTTACTCTGAGAGCAACCTTACAAACTTGCTAACTTCAATCAAATAAATTAATGTATTGGAGTTGTTTGAGATTTTTGTCTAGAAATGCTCAGCAGTGACGATAAACACTGGTACTTGGAATTTAAACCAAAATTAGCTTGTTTTGGGATACTATGCTTCCCTCTTTCTCTGTTTTGTTTTCTTATATCTTTTTCGGTGTCTTTTTTTTGTGGGGGGGGGGGTGGCTAGCCTCCTATTTCCCCATTACTGTACCATTTTCATTTTGAGTATTATTTTAAATTTATTTCAACAATTCTTTGTGATGATTGTCTATTCAAGACTTTTTTTATTCCTTGTTTCGTGAAATTTTTTTTTTAAAGATCGTCAGAGGAGGGTAATAAAAAGAAATATATATATTTGTTTTATTTAGCAAATAGTTTTTCCGAAATAAGAGAAAATAAAAATAAAAAGTTATTGGTGAATGTAAACATTGAGTAATGGGATGGTTAATGCTTTAAATTTATATGATTAGGAAGAAATATACTACATATATTATTTTTACAGATTTAAAGGCAGCAGCAGGCATAATAAAAATAAACTTTAATTTTTTTTCTGAAATTTCGATTTTTTTCTGGGTGGAGGAAGCACTAATTGACCAAAAATGAAATTTTATCTTAATTTTAAATCATCATTATTGGCGGACGACAGGTTCGCTATTAAAACAAGGTATAAAAAAGTCTTGCCTAATATATGAAGATAAGAATGCAACCTTTGTTGATAAGAACCCACACATCCAGGATTTAAACAAGATACTTGATAGAAATGTACGTGCTTGAACTCTGTTGACATTTACAGTACTGTATATCCTGTTTTGTTTTGTTTACTTACAGTGGGTCAATAACACAGACAGATAACCACAAGTTTGACCAGTATTGTAGGGTGAGTAATTCCAGTACTGTATTAATCTTTGTTCAGCAATTTTAATTCCTTCTTTTTTATTAATTTAATTCATGTTTTACTGTGTTCATTTCGTTGTTGCAGTGCAAGTACTGAATTGGCACAATTGACAATAAAATAATATACAGAACAGAAAAAACATATACCAAATACAAAGTCCCACTGTGAAATAGAGCAAAATTTAAATTTATAATGTTTGATTACAAAAATCAATAAATTTAAGATAAACAGGGAAGTCAAAATTGAAATTTCATACAAAGATTTTATCAAAATAAGGTGTCCAATTCGGAGATTATTGAACAAGGGATAGGGGTGTGGATTATTAATTATTGTTTAAATATGATTCTACCAAACAAAATAATTACAAACCAAAATTAACATTATTATTAATACATTTTTTGATTACTGTTTATTTTTTGATTAAGGCCCTATAAAAAATATTATTAGTTTATCACCCTATCTGGGCAGGAAAAGTGATGAGGGAGGGAGGCTTTTTTTTTAAATTTTTTATTTTGCTAAAGCCAAATGTAACCCTTGGTTTGTTTGCTGGTGCATTGATATTCAAAGTAAAACATGATTTAGATCATGCAAACAATATCTACTAACTATTTAATAAAATAAATGAAAAAAAAAAATTAAAAATAAATAAAATTAAAAAAAATTTAAAAAAATTAGAAATTTTTTTTTTTTTTTCAAAAAAATTTTTTTTCAACAATTTTTTTTTTTCAGTACCATAAAAGGCATTCGCGCGAGGGTGATAAACTAATAATTTTTTTTATTGGGCCTAATGTTCATTAAGTTATGCAGTACTGTATGATATATAATTTTTGCGTGCTGCATGTAAATGATAAATTTCAAGACTCCACATGGCCAGGGAGCATGAATATTTTGACAATGGTTTTCAAATTCATGATCCCTACAAACTATGGAGTCATTTTCACCTGCATCTTCAAAACTACACATATTTAAAATGTGTATTCAAAACAAGTGGTTTGGGAGCAGGAGTGGTTTTTGGTCTCTCAACATCAAGGTCGGGGGTTCGAACCTTCACTGTGCATTTCACTTGTGTTCTTGGACAACGCTTTTTTACCTACGTTTGTCATGTCTCTAAAATCTTAAAGTTAATATTAGGCCTTGTACAAAAAAGTATTTATTTAGCGTTCCTTCTCCCACCCCCTCAAATTCTGGCTGATAGGATTTAAAAAAAAAAAAAATTTTAATTACAAATAAAAAAATGTATACGCAATTTACCAGTGAATCGTAATAATAATTGTAAAGTCGTGATACATTTAGGTTCTTCTTTTGTATTTGGCATATACCTAGTGATAACGCATGCTATTACGATTAACTTCTGCCCTGAGCCTTAATAACACTTAGTTTATACATGGAGGTATGATAATCATCACACTTTCTCTCCATTAATTTAAGAGGGCCCCTGTATATCTGGTTACATTCTATAATAAACTGGAATACTCAGCCTCTATAAAGATGCTATATAAATATTGTACTGGTTTGTAGTTTTTTTTTTTCATTCATTTTTCAATGTTTTGTACATGACCTTATAGAATATTCCAAACCATTATCTCATACGGTAAGATACAAAAATATGTATTGTTCAAGACTTTAAAATGAGTGTTTCTGACAGCAATTTGGTCACTGGATCATTGTGTCAGCCTGCAAATTCAAGTTCAAATAAACCCCACTGGTGATATCCTGCCATATTCATATTTTCCAACCAAGCAATAATAACACAATCTACAGTATTTGAACTTTGAAATACCTTTGTAAGTGGGAGTGAATAAAATACCATATTATAAATTCTTTTAAATAAAAAGCAAATGCAATATCAGTCTTTTGTTATATTTAATGACATATGCTACCTGCCACAACCATACTGCACCTGTGGTTAAATTTGCAAATGCTACCTCTAAGATCACACAATTCTTTGGGTCTGGTAGAGTGGAAAGGATTGATATTTTAAAGTAATGTTTGTTACTTTTTTACATTTATTTATTCTTTCTACATTGTAGGCACTTTCAATACTATTACTGTACTCTGATTTTCAATGTGGACACATAACAAAAATATATACAATATATAGAATTGATTAACAAATATTAAAAGAATATAGTGAATTTATTTGGATTTTTAACTTTTCATTGTTTAAAAACTGGCTAACGAAATACTTAAATTCATAGGAGTGACGTTTTTGCCCTATGTGACCTGATATCGTACTGAACTAAGTATGTTTCCAAATTATACCCCCTTGTGGTATTATATTTTTGATGTGTTTTTTTGCAATTTTTGTCTGTAAGTGAAAACAAAAATCGTTTTTGATGGATGATTATTTGAAATACGGTAAATAAAAAATAAAATACTTTAAAATAAAATACATTTGCTAGTGATTGAGGTGGAAATCAAAGCCACAACCTCCTGATAACTAGCCTGGTGTCATATCCACTAGCCCACCGAGCTTGCACTTAGTGACTAGTGTTGAATCCTGATGCAAACACACATCAAAATAGCATTTGCAGTGCCTGCTGCAGCTTGGGAATTAGATTCAACACTACTCACTAAGCACAAGCTCGGTGGTCCAGTTGTTATGACGTCAGGCTATTTTCCGGACACAAATCAAAATAATAATTTTTATTTATTTTTCAGGTGTAAAGAAGCTGATGACTTCACCCCAGCTATGCACCTGTCTCTTATACACATCTAGATGTGTATAAGAGACAGACATACATCAGGTGCCTGAAACAAACCAGAGGAGTTTTGAGTGAGGAAAACCCTTAAAACCTGACCATCCCTCCAAAGACCTTGTCCCCATGCATCAAAAACCATCAAAATGATATGAAATTTACCATACACTACATACTAGAATGCTTCAGTTCAGGGTGCCTCGATGCCCCTACCAAGAACTTTAGCTTCCAAAGGAACCCTGTCAGGATTTCCTGAAAGCATGCCTGTTTAATTCAGTATTTGAGTAACTTTAGTTTGCTAATAGTAGTTTTCTCAACATTTGAATTTGGTGGGTTGTATTTTCTAATTTTCAGACTGCAGAAGGTAGGAAATGGTTTGCAAGGCTGGTGGATGGCAAGCGTATCTATAATAAGTGTGTAGCAGAGCAGACATTTTACCGGCTTGTGCAGTTCTTTGCAGTCTGCTTGTTTGAGTGAGTGTTAACAATGGTAGACCTTTTGACCGATCTTGCACACAAACTTTAACAATAACAGTAATTACAGGGATTTACAAAGGGATTGTCATATGGATGCAATTAGGCCCTAGGTTCTTAACCTTTTTTGGTCCACTGACCATATCCATACCGTATCCATGGTCAATATTGACAATGTTTTCGACCATCTGCAACCCCCTGGGTAAACCATTTTTTAAATATTGTAAATGTAGACCCCAGATTTGGAACTGTGGAATTACGCCTTATAAATGATATAAAATTATAAAAACATCGTTAAAAAAATTAAAAGGAATACATTATAATGATAATAAACATAGGATGAAAAAAAACACTAACAGTAATAGTGAAGAACAAACTAGGAGCTGTGAAACAATATATGATAAAATAATGTGTAGAAAATAAAAATGCCTCGATCAGTATTTTTGTGAAGATTATTTGAAAGTCAATTTTACAGATAATAGTTTAAAAAAAGCCATGTCATTTGCTTGTATGGAAAAGATAACACAGTAGCAGATACATTGGCAAAACTTAAAAAAAAAAAATCTAATATGACATTGATAGTCTGGTGAAGGTTAAAAGATGTCATTGTTATCTATGGCATAGTATCATAGTAATAGAAACAATTTGTTTTCAATTCGTAATGTTTCTCGCATGCAAAAACTAGAAAACAGAACTAATTTTTATATGAGCGGGAATATTTACTGATCTGATGTAAAGTTAATAACACCTTTAACCTGTTGCATACAGTACTTACAATTTCAAAATGATATGTACTGTAATATTTAACATTTATTAATGGTAAGTAAAATATATTAAACTATATATTTTAATTTTAGTTAAGAAATAGGCTAAGGATTAGATTAAAGGTTTTTTTTTTTTTCTTGTTAAATTTTTTTTGTTAAACTGCATAAATCAGAATGGGATCCAACACTTTTACAGTTTTTACATTGAATTTGACAATCAGCACTATGAATCCGGTGGAATTAGCGTGGTATAAATGCTTATAGATTATACATTATATATACATTGATAATTTCTCACCCATCGTAAAAGTAGCTATCATCATTGATGTCGATTGTGTGTCAATTATGAACTTGTAGAAGAGCCTTCCCGTTGTTGAGCGTGTGGTAATGAATTATTAATTTACCATTCAGTTAATTAACTAATTAATTGTGGGCAGTATGAATAGTACGGTTTTGGTAGTTATTGCAGGAGTCTGACAGACAATAGAATGAATAGAATTGTAGTAAATTAACGTAACATGAAATGAATTAGAAAATAGAAACATTGTGTAGAAACAAAATTGCGTTATATTATGATTAGCATCTCCTATTTGGAAGGTAGCACCCAATGGTGTTCATACTAAAATAATGGGCAATTCATTGTACTATACATTTTTAAAGGAGTCACTTGAAAAGTGATAATAAAGATGGTAGCCAAACTGAATTAGTTCCAAGAATCCAAGAATTCAAAGGGGAGGAATTTTACAGGTGGATCAACTACTAGACCACCTCAGCTGAGATTTGAAGATTCTGTCTTGACACCTTTAGATAGCGGGAAATGGCACTTTCAAACTTACTTTTAAATGCAATTTTCTTTTCCCCATTTTTTTTTAAATCTTCAAATATGTACCCTCATTAATCTGCCTCTGTCATAAAATAAGGTCGTTGGACCAAAAATAAGGTAAAAATAAAAATTTTTTAATACAAAAATGTTATTTTGCACAAAAGCACAATTTGGACCATACTCAACTCTCCCCGTGGACTGTACCAAGGATTTTTTGGGATCAGGACCAATGCTGTAGTAGGCCCCTTGGTTTCAGAACCCTTCGTCAGACATGTCAGAACCTTGTTGGCAAGTTTCTGGAGCATCCACTGTTCAAGATATGAAACCTAATAATTTAGTCCATAAGTGGCATCATTTTTTTGTTGCAGAGAAGCAACATATTCAGGTTCAAATTGCTCTTTATACAAGATACATTTGTCAAGCAACATATTCAGGTTCTAATTGCTCTTTTAAATACAAGATACATTTGTCAAGCAACATATTCAGGTTCTAATTGCTCTTTATAATACAAGATACATTTGTCAAGCAACATATTCAGGTTCTAATTGCTCTTTATACAAGATACATTTGTCAACGTTTACAAGTTTCTTCACATGAAATTTCTTTTCCAGATGCTTCGATAGAGAATAAAAATAAAATACATAAAAAGACACAAAAGACAAGTAACTACAATAAAGAAACAGTTGGAACATAAACTACTTAATAGTCAAAAAACTAAAACTACAAACATATTCAAAAGACACAAATGGCAAGGCATATTTTTAAGATAAATAATACAAAGGCAAAAGACACAAACCGTATTCATAGATACATATTCAAAGGTGTACAATTCATAGGTTGAGTGTAAATGAAAGTAACATGGTATAGGCCTAATATATATTTTATTGCTTTATCGCGTACTGTAAGTATATATCGTCGCTCACATCACGAACTAACACAATCAAAGTAGATTGTGTTAGTTCGTGAAATCACAGTAGCGCGTCAAAACGAGCGCGTATTGGTTGTCAGGCAATTTTGTATTCTTTACCACACAAAAAGTACTTAACGACAGCAGCGCGTATTTTGACGCGCTTTTTTGATTT